TACTTGGTGTTTAGTCAAAAAAAAGAGGGGGGCCTTCAGTCCAAAGTCCCACTGGATGTGGGGTCTGGGGCTTTGACGGGAACATACTTTTGAAATCAATCAGTGCATTTAAAAGAATATTGAATTTAGTTTAATAACTACATTTATGAAGTTTAACAATGTATTTTTGACCAGTTATTTTATAAAATTTACAGTGGTGGTTTAGTGACCCTTTTATTCAATGAGAAATTCCCTCTGGTAGTGAGAGTTCATCTACAGCAATAATAAATATGAGCATTAAGGTAAAAAAACCAAAAACAAAATCTAAATATTTGTACTCAAATAACCATGAATGATCCAATTAATTTATTGATTTGTTGTTTAAAGCGTACAAGTACACTACTATAGTTCAATGATGCAATAATGATGGAATAGGGTTTCCTGGCAGAAGCTGTTTACACACCGCTTCCACATCCAGGGAAACCTTGGGTTAAAGCTCCTAGAGGAAACACCGACACAGCCCCTATTTCTGAAAGTATCATTTACACCTTCAGAAGAAAGGTATTGTAATCAAGACAGTATTTTATCATTATATTCTTATATATTCTTATACATATCATTATATATCTTATATTTGATCCTTTACCTAATTGGATTGCTTTAATTGTGTGAATTTTACTTTTATGCATTTTTTAGCTGTTTTAGCTGCTTGTGTTTTATCTGTAATGTTTTATGATTAATTTATTTTTCTGCACAGCACTTTTGGTCAGCTATGGTTGCTTTATAGGTGCTTAACAAAACAAACTTGCATCTGATTGAGATAAACTAAATGTAAGAACACAAATTCACAAAGTTGTTTATTTTTGGGGGGTTTGAAGATTTGCAGGATTATCATTAACCTGTAGTACGACCCGAACTGTAGAGAGACAGGACAGACTGATTGGCCAAATACAATGCAGGAACCTTGAAGTCCTCAAACAGAATCTGAAGCAAACAAAAAGACATATGAAAATTCGCAAAAGAAAGTCCAAGAAATAATGTTTCTATTAATGCAGTATGGTCATTTAGAACTAGATTTTGTTTTTTACATTTTCATATAACTGAGACAAACTGACCTGTGCCTTCTTTTCCCTGTGGACTTTGGGTGTCATGGCATTCTCTGACATTAGAATGGGATACTCTTCAGGATTAATTTGAAGTAGACTGTTAAAAGCATGGATCCAGAGCTGCATGATAACAACAAAGTTTAGTTTAACTTTATATTGACATTTAGTGTATTAATTACAAAACTGTGAGTTAAAAAGAGACCAGAAGTTAACGTGTTAAAGCAGTCTTAAAGCTACAGTGTGTAATTTTCAGTGACATCTAA